AAAAAATGAATTATAAAAAAATAAAAGAAATTATAAACGGATTTCAATTGAAGTCAAATTAGTACAATCTCGGTCAATTGTAATCGACCTCGAATGTCCAATTGAAGTCGAATTAGTACAATCTTGGTCAATTATAGTGTAATCGACCTCGAATTAGTCCAATTGAAGTCAAATTAGTACAATCTCGGTCAATTATAGTGTAATCGAACTCGAATTAGTCCAATTGAAGTCGAATTAGTACAATCTCGGTCAATTATAGTGTAATCGAACTCGAATTAGTCCAATTGAAGTCGAATTAGTACAATCTCAGTCAATTATAGTGTAATCGACCTCGAATTAGTCCAATTGAAGTCAAATTAGTACAATCTCGGTCTATAGTGTAATCGACCTTGAATTAGTCCAATTGAAGTCGAATTACACTATAATTGACCTAGATTGTACTAATTCAACTTCAATTGGACTAATTTGACTTCAATTGGACTAATTCGAGTTCGATTACACTATAATTGATCGAGATTGTACTAATTTGACTTCAATTGGACTAATTTGAGTTCGATTATACTATAATTGACCGAAATTGTACTAATTTGACTTCAATTTGACTAATTCGAGTTCGATTACACCATAATGAAGTCAAATTGTAATCGAACTCGAATTAGTCAAATTGAAGTCAAATTAGTACAATTTCGGTCAATTATAGTATAATCGAACTCAAATTAGTCCAATTGAAGTCAAATTAGTACAATCTCGATCAATTATAGTGTAATCGAACTCGAATTAGTCCAATTGAAGTCAAATTAGTCCAATCTCGGTCAATTATAGTGTAGTCGACCTTGAATTAGTCCAATTGAAGTCGAATTAGTACAATCTCGGTCAATTATAGTGTAATCGAATTCAAATTAGTCCAATTGAAGTCGAATTACTATAATCTCGGCCAATTATATTGTAATCGCCCGTTATCTTTTAAAAAACAAAAAATTAAAAAATAACTTAAAAACTGATTTTCAAAATCCGTTTTTAAGTTTTTTTTATTAAATAAAAAATAAAAATAATAAATAAATAATAAAAATGGATTTTCAAAATCCGTTTTTAAGTTATTTTTTTTATAAAAAATAAATAAATAAAAAATAATTGAAAAATAAAAACGAATTTTTAAAATCCATTTTTAACAAAAAAAATAAAAAAAATAAAATAAAACATAATAAATAAATAAAAACGGATTCTCAGAATCCGTGTTTCAAGGAAAAACGGATTCTGAGAATCCGACTGTTTGATTTTTTTTCCACACAACCTTTTTTGATTTATTGTTGTCCATGGATTATTTTTTTATTTAAATAAATGATTCTCTAAATACGTGTATGTTTTGTTCTTGAATAAAAGAAGTACTCACAAATTATTAAAGGATGAGTTATACATCCGAAAATAAATATTTTTAAAACATATTAAACGAAAAATAAAGAGAATTATTTTTTGGGAGTCTTAATAACTAATTTCGAAATATCTTGGATTTTCAGAGATAATTATATAAGTTTTGAAATTTACTTAAAAATCTCCAAAATTGGAAGTAAATCAACATTGTTTCATTTCTTATTATCTAGAATAAAAAAATGAATATATCCTATAATATTGTTGGTATTCTCAAATCCCATCAATCGAAATTAAGTTCAACACATATGAAATTTTTGGGATATTCATTAAAAGCTAATCTTCCTTTTTATAATGTTGATTTAAGAAATAAGTATATATAAAAATAAAACTGGGATTCTGAAATTTGAACCATCGAAAGCAGTTACACATGTCAATCTAAAAAAAAAAAATCAAATTGAATTAAACAAAAAATAAGAATATAAACTATAAGGGATTCCTTTTTTATCAAATTGAATTAAACAAAAAATAAGAATATAAACTATAAGGGATTCCTTTTTTATTACGTACATTTAAAAGAGAAACGAGTATATTCCAAATTAACATTGGAATTTTCAAATCTCAACAGTCGAAAACTTAGACTTATGAAAGAAAAAAAAAAGATCATCTCCCAATATATTGTTGGATTAAAATATTCCAACAATTTTATAATTGTCAAACATCTGAAATGGTTAGTCTTAACATATCGGATTTAAAAAAAATGACACAAATTTTTTTGAGAATCTCAAATTTCTAACATTCCTTTTTACCATTTAAAAACAAATCATATATTTAAGAGATAAAGACATAATATTATTGAAATGATTTTTATAACCACCAAAATCGAAAAAAAAAAAAAATCAAGTATTAGATGTTATTGGGATATGATCCGATTTCTCCAAAAATGGGGAAAAAAATCAAATCAAGTAATAATCTTATATTCATGTAAATCCACATTTTTAAAATAAGAAAATAAGTGCAAATATATGTACCACAATTTGATCTATAAATAAGCTCACATTCATGGTCAACTTACAATTTGATCTATAAATAATACTCATCATAAAAAAATAAAACCTTTACACGTTCAAAATAAATTCATGATCAACTTTTAGCGTAATCAAGGATCTTAAAAGAAGTACGAGAGTCATCTTGAAACTTCTAACGACATCTTTAATACGAAGTTTAATGCCTCTTACTGAAGTTATTTGGGAATAGTTTTAAAAGAAGTATCCTACGGATTTTCCAACGTTTTATTTTGATTTCCTTAATTTTGCTACCGCACAAGATGTTGACAGTGTAGATTTTTAAAAGCAAGTTGTTGTCAGTTTTATTTTCAAACATGTAGACATATATGTGGTTGTATTTTATTCTACTTCTTCACGTATTATGTTGTTAACGTATAGACCATCATTTAATATTACAATCATTGAATATTGTTTTACCGTGAATTGCACAAGTTATGCACTAGTTTGAATTAAAAAATTGATTGGTCAAAATGACTGTTTTTTCTTTTTTTAATTTTTTTTTTTTTTNTTTGTATCCATGCACTAACTATTTTCAAAAAAATGAAAGCGCTGCACCCCTGAAAGCTTCAGACAAATCCTAGTTAAAAAAATAAAGGAAGAGATGAGCCATGGTCCATCCAGCTCATGAACAGACTTCATATGCACCCAAAGGAAAATGACTAGTCACGAGTCACGACGAAAGGCGCTTTGCCCATGCCCACATCCACGCGCCCGAGATCGCGTGAAACCCACGGCGTCATCGCATTATTGCCTCACTCACTCATCCTGCCCTAAAATCTTAATTCCAAAGCACCAAATCCAACGAACCCATTTCACACTGCTTTTACTTTACTTTATTAGACTTTCCTCTCACTCTCTGTCTGCTCTGTCCCCCTTTTCCTTTGCCCTTATACCCACCCACCAACCAACCCACACCCACTCGGCCATGGCTTACCACCGGAATCCGCCGTCACAACAAAATTTTCACTGACCCGGCCGGCCGGCGTCGGATCTCAGACGAAGCAAAACGAGTTAAAAAAGCCCAAATGGCCGTTATTTCGAAGCGAGTCGCTTGGACTGGCGTGTTGACGGTGCTGCTGTCGCTACTGTGTCACGAGCGAGTCAACTCGGATCTGAGTGGGGACAGGCAGGCGCTTCTCTCTTTCCTCTCGCATGTCCCGCACGAGAGCCGCCTCAGTTGGAACGAGTCCGTCCCCACCTGCGAGTGGGTGGGCGTAGCGTGCGACTCCGCCAACACCTCCGTCTTCTCCCTCAGGCTCCCCGGGGTGGGGCTCGTCGGCCAGATTCCGGCCAACTCTCTGAGTCGACTCAGCCAGCTCCGAGTCCTCAGCCTCCGCTCCAACCGCCTCTCCGGCCCAATCCCGCCGGACTTCTCCCGTCTCCGGAACCTCCGGAGCGTCTACCTCCAGGACAACCGGCTCTCCGGTGAGTTCCCGGCGAGCCTCACCGAGCTGAACCGGCTCGCCCGGCTGGACCTCTCCTCAAACAACTTGACCGGCCCCATACCCTTCGCCGTCAACAACCTCACTCACCTCACCGGCCTCTTCCTCGAGAACAACGCCTTCTCTGGCGTGATTCCGAGCATCTCCACGCCAGGCCTCACCCAGTTCAACGTCTCCGGCAACCGGCTCAATGGCTCCATCCCCAGGGCCCTCGCAAGGTTCCCGGCGTCCGCATTCTCCAACAACCTCCAACTCTGCGGGGGCCCTCTGCCCCCCTGCACCCGCCCTTTCTTCCCTTCTCCCACCCCATCTCCGTCCCTCGGCCCTCCGGCGGGAACCGCCCCGGCCGGGGGAGGTGGCCGGAGGCTCTCGGCCGGCGCCATTGCCGGAATATCAGTCGCCGGCGGTCTCCTCGCGCTCCTCCTCCTGCTGGCCATCGCCTTCATCGTCGTCAAGAGGAGGAAGAGGGGGCGGACGGACGCCCCCAAATCCCAGAAACCGGTGGCCGCGGCGGCCGCGGCGGCCGGCGGCGGTGCGGCGGGGGACGCCGGGACGTCGTCGTCGAAGGACGACTTGACGGGGGGTGTTTCAGGGGAGGGAGGGGAGAGGAACAAGCTGGTGTTTTTTCCGGGCGGGGGTTACAGTTTCGACCTGGAGGACCTGTTGAGGGCGTCGGCGGAGGTGCTGGGGAAAGGGAGCGTGGGCACAAGCTACAAGGCGGTGCTGGAGGAAGGCACGACGGTGGTGGTGAAGAGGCTCAAGGACGTGGCCGCCGGGAAGAGGGAGTTCGAGCAGCAGATGGAGGTGCTCGGGAACGTCAACCATCAAAATGTGGTGCCTCTAAGAGCCTTTTACTATTCAAAGGACGAGAAATTGTTGGTCTACGACTACATGCCCGCCGGCAGCCTCTCCGCCCTCCTCCACGGTAACTCATTTCTTATTCACTTACTCTTTAATTAATTACTTAATTAACTGCTATTTTTTTCTTGTTTAGTTATTTTGCCCCTTTTGTTTTTTCTGCTAATTACTTAATACATTGAAATTCACACTAATTATATTTCCTTCATTAGTTCCCTAACAATCAAATGCGAGTATAGTTTTAGGTGAATATTTCGGACATTACTATCTCCTCATTTCGCCGCCCGCAATTTGATTCAACTGACTGCTACGCGTATATTCAATAATATACTATTT